AGAGAGAGAGAGAGAGAGAGAGAGAGAGAGAGAGAGAGAGAGAGTACAAAGAATACAACAAAGAAGTATTATATGTCTTATTAACTCGCTCTCTCTCTCTTTTCTAAGGGCTCACGCTCTCCTGGCCTTGACAACAGGTGAAAGTTTACGACACACTTTCCCCAGTGACACAGTCACCTATGCACTCATTGCACCTTTGTTAGGTGCTTTCAATTTTCCTCGACTACACAGCTGATACCAACTCATCATAGACGGAATAATAATATGCTTGAGGTGCTGTGTGTGCTCCTGAGATTTAAGTGTTATAAATCACGTCGAACCACTTTTAAGGCAACTTTTTCTTTAGATGAAAATTAGTTAGAACAAATTAGGAGGGGAAACGGTTTTATCCCCGCCATCCAGGAGAATCTAGATCTAGAGCTAACTTAGAATAAAGAGATGGAAGACAAAGTTGATACTCCTCGTTTAAATTGTTCCTAAAATACCGTGGCTCACTGTGAGTATAGCAAAATCATCACTGTTGAGCTCATGGCGCTTGATTTTTGGTAGTAACGAAGTGGAAACAACCGAAGCCCCACCCAAATCTTGGTCCACCCACCCCCACTGGGTGTTTGTGGAGGTGGTTTTTGTGATGTATATGAAGATGATTTGATGATGATGATGTGATGGTGGCCATGATGATGATTAAATTGTACAGAAGTGGTCAGAACATATGGTGTGCGTGTGTGTGTGTGTGTGTGTGTGTGTGTGTGTGTGTGTGTGTGTGTGTGTGCGTGCGCGAGCGTGCGTGCGTACAAGTGCGTATGAGTATGTGCGGTGAGAGAGAATTGAATTGAATTAAACTTTATTGGCTTTCGAGGCCAATGGCCCATACGTCATTAAAAGTTACAAATTAATATGCAAAATACTGATCTCTCTGTGTTGTGCTAAAGAACAAATTGCATAATAACCTACAACACAGAAAACATATAGATCTATATAACATTTGCATCTAGAATCTAGTTCTACACCTAATGATAATGGAATGGACCCACACACAACAAAGTACAGAGTACAAAGCATTGGTCATAGTCAAGGATGCACGATGCAGAGACTAAACAAAGCTTACGGGCTGGACTCTGATCTCTCTAGTTAAGCTCTAATCTAGACTCTAGATTAAAAAATCAATTTCACATTGTCTTTCCATTTTTCGTCCTTTGGGAATCTGAGGAAAGACAATTATTTAGTTTTTCCTCTGAAATTAGAACGGCCGATCGCTGAACAAAACTGGCCAGCAATGCCGACAGCATGAGCGTTGCGAGTCTCTCGCCGTGCTTGTTTACATACTGTCGCACGCTCGCCGTTAGTGGCGCTAGGAGTCGACGTGGCTCACAAAATTGGGCCACTGCAACATCTTACCGTGGGCTGTACTATCTTTGATAGTAATAGTTCCAGCAACCATCAAAATGAATGTTTGATGACATTGTTGTTGCTTTTGTGTGAAGATAACTCTCTTGATAAAAAGGTGTGAACTTATGTGAAAACAACCAACTTGAGTCCAGCGCACTCATATGTCCTTAATATGCAGTTGTGAGCTAAAAAAAAAAACCAAAAAAAAAAACAATCAAAAGGTCAGTTTCAAGGTCAGAGCTTTCCACATAATCGTTAAAAGGAAGAGAAAAAGAAGAAAAAAGTTGAGAAGGTAGAGGTGACACAACAAAACCATGCATGCACACGTGAGCACAGACGATCATGTGTTATTCCACCCCGGATGGTTTGTACCTCCACATCTAATTGCTAGAATCAGGACATGGGTTTATGGGCAGCCAAAGGGCAGACAGTTATAACAATTGAAAGCCAACTAGATTGGCAGATCATATTTAGGGCTTCTTTTGATGACAATTATTTGTTTTTATTGAATCAATAAATTTGTAAATTTATAGCTTTACCCAATTCCATATCAATCTCCCATGATTGCTCGCTACATATAGGCCTACAACTGACAAAATCGTTGCTTTGTGTCCGTCATCCATGCTATTATTGTCTTGTAGTGACTCTCCGAATACTCAGTTAACTCACAACACAGCAGCTGACATGACCATGACTTCGCACGGACCTGCGAAGTGCTCACATGAAAAACACCACCTGACCCGACTGTCCTACATGGCCAGTCGAGTAGAAAACTCAGGTGAGTAAAGACCTACCTACATTGGTGACCCCGACAAGTTGAAACGCAATTTCAACTTCGTGTGTTCTATCTTGGATTACATTTTGAATCATATTTGAGCGGACTTGCGTTTTCTAACATTTTGGGCAGCGGGGCCGGAAGCTTGGTTCGCCCAAACTGAAGCGCAATTCGCTCTGCGAAATATTACCCAAGACGAAACTAAATACTACTATGTCCTCGCAAGAGGACATTCCGACAACTGCCGTCATCACACCATTCGGCCTATACGAATTTCTACGCATGCCATTCGGCCTTAGAAACGCCGCACAGGCATTCCAGCGTCTTATGGACTCCGTCCTGCAGGACATTTCGTGCGCATTCATCTATCTGGATGATATACTCATTGCCAGCTCATCAGCAGCTCAACATATTAAAGATCTACGGCAAGTTTGCAACAGACTCGAAGAAGCGGGCCTAGTTGTTAGGTTAGAAAAATGCGTGTTTGGAGTGACCGAAATCATTCTACTCCCTTCCAAAGTCAAAGCTATAGAAGAATTCCCACTGCCAACCACCTACAAAGCACTCCCACTCCAAGAATTTTTGGGAATGCTAAACTTCTACCATCGCCTTCTACATCGAGCTGCATTAGTACTACCCCCTCTCGACGAAGCTCTGAAGGGAGAAAAGAAGAAAACAAAACTTTGCTGGACGGAACAGATGACTACAGCCTTCCAGGCCAGCAAACGCATGCTTGCCGATGCACTCTCCTCTCGCATCCCGACAAACTAGCCATCGCTAAAGCTGAATTCCAGAAAATGGAGGACATGGGAATTATTAGACGATCTAGCAGTCCCTGGTCTTCACCTCTTCACATGGTTCCGAAATGTAATGGAGACTGGCGGCCTTGAGCAACTAACGTGGCCTCAACAATAGAACGACCCCAGATCGTTATCCGATTCCCCACATTAAAGACTTCTCCGCATGACTCACTGGTAAAAGTATTTTCTCCGAAATCGACCTCGTTCGAGGTTACCACCAAATCCCACTTGCGCAGTTTCAATGGCTATCGAATCTCGTGGACCAGAACTGCTGTGTGACTTTTCGACTGGACATACTAGACCAATTGTACCTCCAGCATTTCGTCGACAGGTCTTCGATATATTTCATTGCCTCTCCCATCCAGGAAGGAACGCTACAGTCCGCCTGGTATCCCAGAGAGTTGTTTGGAAAGGGCTAAGGAAGGAAGTCAGCAAGTGGGCCAAGGAATGTACGGACTGCTAAGCTTCAAAAGTGCAAAAGCATACCAAAGCACCCGTGGAGAAGATTTCAGTGCCTGAAAAGAGGTTCAGTCACGTTCATGTCGATCTTGTAGGTCCTTTACCCCCATCGCAAGGCTTCACTCACCTCTTCACAATCATCGACCAAACCACACGATGGCCAGAGGCTATCCTACTCAAGGACGCCGCAATAACAGAATGTGGCCGTGTTTCTTCTTCCTCGTTCTCGATGACAGCAGCTAGACAGACAGTCAGTCCGATGTCGCGTACAAACTGTGTAGTTTGCTTCAACTCTGAGAGACTGCCATAGTGCTTTCTCTCAAGGGGAGCCACACTCTGCCACGTCTGTGGCCGTGTGATAATCAATCACTGGATCCCCCGTTTTGGCATCCCCATCGACATCACAGAGGCCCTAAGTTTACTTCTGCCTTGAGGAGAGAGATGGCCGAGCACCTTGGTACCAATCTTCATCATACAACAGCCTATCGCCCTCAATCCAGTGGACTGATTAAGCGATTCCACGGGTCCCTCGAGAGTGCTCTCAAAGCAAGACTCCAAAGCCCGAACTGGCTCGATGAACTGGGATGGGTACTGCTCGTTTTGAGGACTTCCCCAAAAGAGGACCTGGGAACTTTTATGGAAAACCACTCAGAGCACCGGCTGACTTTTTACCAGTGGCACTTCACCATTCGACCAGTCACGCAGCCTCGCCAACTTACGATCCCAAATGCAGTCACAACTAGTTCAACTAGCCAAGGCGACATTACTGCACTGTGCACCTATCTCCAACATCCACTCGTCACTAGACACAGCCAAGTTCGTGTTCATCCGCTGCCACGTTCACCAAAACCCCCACAGCGCTCGTATACTGGTCCGTACATGGTTTTAGAAAGGCATGGCAAAACCTCTCTTGTCAATCTAAGTGGCCAGGTGGTGCCCCTGGAGATTTAGAGGACCTTTTTTTCAGTTGTTCAAAAAGAGGAGTGGATCATCTTGAAGTATAGGATCTTTGATTAAATAGAATATTTAGCATATTATTAAAAGTCACAAGAATTCTTACTTTTTACAATATCTTCATAATATTTCATTTTAAAATGTGAAGATTAGGTCTGTGGTCCATTCTCTGCAGTCGTCGATAGTAATAGCCATACAAAAACACTTAAGACAGAAAAAATTACTGATATTCTGACTTTCTAATCTTAACCTCAGGTTGAGAAGAATACGCACCTCATTGACTTTAAGAAATTCATACAGCTGATGTGCTTTGTCCTTTTCAGTCCCAGATGTACCCCATTTCTTGCCAACCCGGTCGTATTTTCTGTTCAGAGGGTTATCGCTGTAGACTTTTTCTCTTTCAATCACAGGTCTGCTGCCACGAAGTTCTCCAACTCTGTTGAGCTTGCGATTCAAGGCATTGTCCACATAGTACTTAGAACCTCTGAAACAAAGTCAAACATTTGCATTAAACAGCTGATTCAAATCAAAATAGAAGTTAAAGATTGTTTAATACACGATTGCGCTTCACATAAAGCGTTCTCAATCTATTATGCCCATGTATACAGAGATCTCCCCCTAAGGACAGTGCTTTATTAAGTAGAGCCTTGTCCGCAAAAGAGCTTGCTTTTACTGTGTAACAGAATTTCTTTTCTATAAACTTCAGGGTCCTTCTATAGCTTTCTCTCAAAATCAATATCTGCCTCAGAACCCATTTTAAGCTAAAAGCAAAAACTTTTCTGCGCTGCTCTACCATATTTTGCTTGAGTTGGGGATAGGGGCAAGGGGTTGTTTTTAGTTTTAGCAAGTTTTTACGGCGCTCGCAACTGCATAATAAGGTCATATGAGCGCCAAGGGGTGGAAGTCAACAGAGAAGTCCAAACTCTGCTCACCTCCCTCGCCTCAACAGCAGAAAGTCTGCTTCGACTATCAAGGCACCCCGGAAAAAGCAGTTCACAAGAGAGTGGCAAACATACAAAAGAAGTAGAGGAAAAATGACGATAGTAAGTATGACGAAAGAAAAAGCAGCAGTTCCCCCTATGTTGTTCCGGCACAGTAAGAGCATGACATTGATAAATCAGCCCATTTACAATTCTATTGTGCTTAAGAACATGTTAATATCCCCTCTTTGGGAATGGCATAAATTCAACTTCAGTCAGTAGCACTGCCCTGGTTTGGGGGGGGGGGAGGTTAGAGGTTGTCAAGGACTTGCAGGCTACAAAATCTAAAAACTACAGGTACACATATAGGCTATAGAATGCTTTTTATGCATGCACTTGACCTCTGCCAAGGGTGTCAATCAGTTTGTGGTTTTTGAGCGGTACAATCACTTGCTCCTGTCACTTTTATTTCAATTGTAAAAATTCCCGCTATATAGACCATTTGGTCATGCTCACTCACACAATATGATTTATTCAATGTACGTTCAGTTCTGAATGTGCCTGTCACTTTTTAATGTAAACATTTTTAAATATTATTTTTGCCAAGTTATAACTGTTTTTGTGCAATCAGCTGTGAAATCACTAAGACACAGACATAAACTGAAACAATGCACAATTGAAAACAATGCTTTTCTCATTCAAGCTATCAACAAATCAATTGAACAGATTCCTTGGAAGAAAACTAAACGTCTATTTATAAAATACATGTCATACTTTGAATGTAGTGACTTGATTTCGTTATTTATTTAGACGTATACTATCGCATTCTCATCCGTTGGTGACATAGACCACTCTACAAAACTCCACTGGCCTGAGCCACTAGCCACTCACAGATATTAGGTTAAACTAGAAAACTAAAATCAAAGAGCTGAGCCAATTCCAGGGTTATTTCTTCACCACAGCATAAAAAACTAGGGTCACCTTCGCTTGGCCATCATGAAAATGCATGAAAATGCTCAGTTTGATGCAAGGATACCATTGACTGACAACTAGAGACTAACATTTTTTTAAAAAGCAAGCACATGCAGTAAGGTATAAAGCCATTTATCAACTGTATTTTGAATACATACGAGCATCCTTTAATCAAAATCCATTCCTTAAATACAGTTCTAAAAGTTGTATGCTTACTGGTACGTCCCGTCTCTTGAAATTGACCTGGATCCCAAAGGAAGGCCAGCTCTGTGATGTGCCCGGTTGAACGGGTTATCAGCATAGATTCTTGAGGCAACTGATCCACTGCTTTCCCCGCTCTTTTCTGCCTGGTCAGATGAGTAATCATAACTGACCTGTGGGGTAACCTGTTCATCCACTTTCCTTCTTTCATTTCCTTGTCTGTGTAAAAATGATCAGAACAATCTAAAAGTAATTGCAAGAAAAGCAAAGTAAATACAACACACACACAACACCCCACCCCCCCCCCCCCCCCCGGGCAAACAGAAAAATGAAAAGGATAATTGGTAAAGTTTGAAAAGTTAACAAAAATGTTCATAATCTAATAGCAGATGTTGAAGTTAAAAGTAAGCTAACTAACCACAAATACTTCACAAATAGTTCAGAAATCATCATGACGAAAAATCAATCTAGAGAGGTAAAGGCAAAGGAAGTGGGTACTACCAAATACAAAAAAATGTGTCAAGAACAAGGAGGTTATAAATAGAATGGAGACTGCACTGTGGGCGGCAACACGTTTCTGATAGAAGCCCTCTCTCACAGCCACACTGTGGTCAAACTGTGCCATGCACTACTAGACTCGCGCACGGAATGCTATATTATTAGGTCAAAGTTAGCTGGTAAAAAATAATAATAGGATACGCCTATTATTATATCTACGGGTCATTTGTCATAATACTCTCACAATAAATGGAGACGGTTGCTTTCAATTGTATGTGTAGATTCAAGGCCAAGCAAACCTGTTTCTTGATGGAACAAGATCTAGAGACTAGGTATCTACATGTAACCCATTTTCAAACACACCTAAGGTTTAGTTCAATCAGATGAATTTTACGTTTTTCAACCAGTTTTTCAATACTATTACAGCTGTCTAGATGTAGATATCTAGAAGTTCCTGGGTTTTTTAAAATGAAACCAGTACCTCACTAACAATAACAATAACTTCTCTTTATATTAAAAGTGTAAAGCAACACCAAACCATATCAGATCATGTCATTGGGTATTGAGTTTGAGTCCCCTGTAATAGAGCACTACTCGATTTAAATCTATTAGTTCCAACTATCCATTTCCAATCCAAGGTATGCATACGTAGTCAGAATCTTATTGGTGTGTACGAGTGTGTGTGTGTGTGTGTGTGTGTGTGTGTGTGTGTGTGTGTGTGTGTGTGTGTGTGTGTAGTGGTGGGGGAGGGGGGTGGTGGAAAGTAACATCTTAAAACCCTGTCACATAAATAAATCTTAAAAAACAGTAAGTACAAATATTTCAATTGACATGGGACCATAGCCAGGACATGTATAATGTGGAGACAAAGAATAACCATGCCATTAAATTAGGAAGACATGTATTATAAAATATAAATATGTCAACATGATTCAGGGGCGGCTCGTGGGGCTAAAAAGTGGACGTGTACAATTAAGCTATGGCATGCTGAAGATAGTCAAGGGCATTGTAAATGAGACAGTGTATGATTTTAAGATCTTTGGGTTGGTGAGGGAGGATCTCGTGCTTTTATTTTCATTCTTTTTACTTGTCGCTTTGATTTCTGTACTAAATTTGCTTGTAAGCTTAACATCAATTTCGTTCATCCTGTATTGGAACTAAACACTCAAGTAATAACTTTCACTACTCCACTACAAAACAATTCAAAGGCACAACTCATAGGACGGTCATGTTCACCTCCCTCAGGTTCACGGTCACAGAGTCATTTAAAATAGTGGCAAGACAGACAATGAACCAATCACAATTCACTTGAGCACTCCGCTGGATTGCTCCATGGCACACATAATATTGGCAAAGAATAGCGTACTGTCTATCACGTTTATTTTTAGATTGCCTACTGTGAACTATGTTTCGGCACCGTTTGACAGGAGCACATTTGAGATGTGCCGTCTTATTAATATTAATGTACCTCCAAACTCGCTACGAGTGTCGTCATCGCTTGGGTTATCCCCAAGAGCGATTTATAGGTCAGGTTACACTGTTCAATATCCTATTATGTTTAAATAGAGTGCGTGGACTTTGGCATGGCATAGTTGGTGTTTTACGGCGCTATAGACACAGAAATGACAGTTACGGCGCTAGTGAGGACCTTGTTTTGACATAATGTTTGGCTAGTGTTTGTTTGTGGCTTCTTTTATTTTATTTTGTGGGTGTTTTACGTGGTAGAACATTTTAAAAATTTGGGCGGCACTGCACGACCGTGCTCTATGGACGAACCGCGCCTGACATGATTGCCTATCATCGTGAACGACTGACGAGTGAATGTAGCCATTTAAATAATAGTAATAATAAGCTAAGAACGAAGGCACCCAGTGATACAAACTAACAAAGACTGTATTATTTATGCATTAATAATACTAGTAAGATTCTATTCCATTTCAAAAGACCAAGGCACTATTATTAAAGAATTAATTAAAAGCATAGCAGGCTCCACTTTGTGTAAAAGTAAAAGGAAAGAAAATGACTGTACTAAATCATTCATAGACACAAACAAATGTATCACGACGTGGTAAAATAAGGCGCTCGCCAAATTTTTGGCATTGTAGAGTTATGGGTACCATCTTCAAGCTTGTTCATTTGGTTTGCTTTTGATGAAAAAAAATCCATCTATGTTGAAGAGATGTCGAAATATTTGCAATTGAAGGAGGTAGGGGTCGCCTGGTGATAGGAGCAAAATTAGCAAGAATTAAAATGGCCATCAAAGTTTAGTGACTTCCAAAGCTTGAGTGTCCTTGGAAACTGCAAATTTACATGCCTTTGATTACCGTTTTTCAGTAAAATCCACACAGAATGTGTTTTCAAATGGACATGAAAGGTCATTGAGGTAAAAATAGAAACATTTTCAAAATTGCACAACGGCCAGAAAAATGTCGGTTACTTTGAGTTCATTATTTTGACGAGAGCATGATTTCATCATGATGCCTCACAAATGTTAAGCAGTCAGATAAAGCTGATCTTGACTCTCTCTGTTCTCCGCTCATGTGTTAAGGCTTAGGCTATCTACAGTGAAGGCCCTCTACTTTCGGTTTTACACATAAAGCTAGTTATGGCACTCCCCTAGAATCATGCAATCATTGTCTTAAATCCAAATCTTTGTTGCAAGACTTATGGAGTTTAAACAATAAAGCTCGTAAACAAATAAACAGTCCTTATCAGACAGTCTTTTTTTTTCTCCTTTCCCTCATGTCAATCATTCAGTCATTCACAGTAGACTGTCTCTCTCTCTCTCTCTCTCTCTCTCTCTCTCTCTCTCTCTCTCTCTCTCTCTCTCTCGTTCTTCTTTTTAAATGTCTCGCCTTCTTCCTTTCCCCAGGCCAGCCCCACCATCTTCAACCTAGTCCTCCCCCCCCCCCAACAAAAAAACCCACACATTCCCTCCCACACCGTAGCTCTACTATGAGACCCTATAAAGAAAAAATGCAGTTCACGCAGATTTAATCACACGTGGCAGCCATTTTCCCTGTTTAATTGGGGACCAGCACACGGTGCAGCGAAGAGAGAGAGAGGAGCATCCATTTATTTTAAGGTCCTTGGTCAAGACACGATGGAATCAGGCACTCATCCTTTTGTGGGCATATGGAGTTATTGGAATCATATGAAAACTGGTTCACTTCCCTTCTTTTTATAAAAACAATACCTGTCTATCTTGAACAGAAGTTGAAATGTGATTGAAGGAGGTGTGCTGGTCACCTACTGTCAGAAAATGGCCGCCGAAGTTTGGTGATTTCCAAAGCTTGAGTGTCCTTGGAAATTGCAACATTTACATTTATATGCCTTTAATCAACGTTTTAAAATAAAATCCATACAGAAATGTGTTTTTAAAGGAACATCAAAGGTGTTGAGACCCAAATGAATAATAAAACAGGCAGAAAAATTGTTTCTTTAATTTCATTATTTTGATGAGAGCCTGATTTCACGATACTTCACAAATGTATTATTTTAGTCACACGAAGAACTCCATACTCATAAGGGGTAGACTCTGAAAATATTGAGACTGACTTCACCGTCTCCGCATTTATTATTACCCTTAAAGAAATATCTGCGCCTGTGGCGTAGCCATTAGGCACTTTGCTGTTTCACGCAAAAGACCTGAATTTGACACGCTTGGGGCGAGAATTTTGATCAAGTATCTCTGCCTTTCTGCTGGGACATTGAATCCCTCTCTACCCGGGTTTGCCTCGACAGGCAGAGTCAAGGCCCACCTAAATTATCTAAATTGTAAGTTGATAAATACCTATTTATTTAAAAAAAATAAAAACAAACAATAAATGATCACAAACCTGGAAGAATCAGCTTTGGTCTTAGTCACAGGCATGCTGCCTAGAGGCTTCAAAGCTCTCCCAAGCTTTCTGTTCTGTGCATTGTCCACATAGACCTTTGGTGGATTAACACTGGCTGCATTAGCTCCAGAAGCATGATCACAGGAACTAGAGAAATAAAATTGAAATCAATCTTATACAAACATTACTATTCTTTGAATCAAGTAGTAGGACATTCAACAGGCACTAACTTCAGCCTAAAAATAATAAAGTGCAATGGGGGTATAATTATGTCCAGTCCTAAGATATTATTTTTAAAAGATAGACGCTTGCACTATTGAAATTGAAAGTAAGTTGAAGTTGAATGCTTACTTCTCACACAGCTATTCCAGTGAAGAGTAGCTGTGATATTGACTTTTTTTTAAAGTAAGTGTTTTATGGCACTCGTAACTGCATAAGGCCTTATGAGCGCGAGAGACACATTAAACATTTTCAGTAGGTAGGAAATTTTAAATTTTTCTGGGGTAGCGGCCCAAGCCGACTCTTATCGATTTTGAATCATCTATCAAGGAATCTTTAATGTGCGTAACTTGCACACGGGATCTTCAAGATTGTTCGCCCTTGTCTGAGAAGGCTAGGTGTAGATCTTTCCTACCAAAGATCAGGGTTGTTGCTGAAAGACAGCA